TGTAAAACATGTACCGAATTTTCTGCTCTATAAGATGCACCCGACCATAAGACGCACCTAGTTTTAGAGGAGGAGAACAAGAAAAAATATATTCTCTCCCTCTCTGCTCAGCAGCTCTCCAGCAAAGCGGGAGGAGAAATGAAGGGGCTCCATTTCTCCTCCCGCTTCACTGAAGGGGCACTGCGCAGAGAGGGAAAGCTGTGCAGCGCCTCTCCAGCAAAACGAAGCCAGGAGAGCAGCGCAGCCTTCATTCGCTCCATAAGACACACACACATTTCCCCTTACTTTTTAGGAGGGGGAAAGTGTGTCTTATAGAGCGAAAAATACGGTACTATATTCCTGCACCAGGTGACAGGTGAGCAAACAAGGTAACTGAGTCCCTCCAGTTGATTTCACTACTGCCAATAACTGGAGGTTTTTATTTCCAGGCTACATCCACTCAACATCCCTTATTGACTGACTGAACAAGCTCGCAATGCTGGGTAGAGTGTATCATACAGTTGTCGCATAAATCTCCCCACATGCAAATTTGGGGAGGGGAAAAAATTGCCCTCTGCATCACCATGTGACATTCCAAAGAAAAATACCCTTCATTATTTGAGCAAAAAGTCCACATTTACTGTAGAGTTAACAACATACACAAGACTCAGCAGGTGACTGGGATGGAGGCAGATAAAGGGAACTTCCTTTGAACATCCTGTCTCTCATACAAACCCATTTAGGAACATAGTAGGGAGGGGATTCCTTACTCTGGAACCTCAAACAGTTTTTGAGAAGGGTGTTCCATGAAGAAAATTTCCTGCAAAGGGTAAGTGAACTGAGAAACAATCCCACCAATGACAAGGGCTTCTGCTTGGCACCACTCATGCTGAACAGGGATGGGATCGTTCATGGAACACTTGATATCTACTTTGCACATCTTGGGAGGTAGCAGAAGTAGGAACAACAACAGCCACAACATCCGGGTAGCAAAGCTTTTCACTGGACATATGCTCTCCTATAACAGTTCATAGGAGCTTCCTGACTTAAAGACTGTACATTTAATGGTGCCTAGCTCTGCCAATAAACTGCTATCTATATCAGTCTTTCAGTACAGTATCAACAAGGATACAGATGCATGCTTTGAGTACTAGCAGAGATTGCCAACATTTTAATTCCAAGTCTGGTTGAGAAGGGGAAAAAATGGGGAATATCCTAAATGAAACTGACAGAGCCCTGCTTGCCTCTTGCCCTTACTTTTGCTCTCCATGGCAAACAGGTTTATTTAGAGCCACTTCCAGAGTTGTTTCTTGATCATTTTCTTCTGTTGTCTAGGAAAGCTTGGGAGCTTTGGGACAGGTGAACAAATTATAGTGATTTGGATACCTGCAGGCAAAGATAATTAGTTCTTTAGATTTGTGTGGCACTTTTAATACCAAAGATCTCATTTGTGTGTTTTTCCCAGATCTGAAGCCAAGAATCATTTGGTCCTTATGGAATAAAAAGTGGCAGGTGGTTATGAGATTCTCATAGGGAGCAATAACTCACAAACAAGAGGAAGGAATCTGTTCAATGACACTTTGTAACTAACTTCATAGAAGTTTTTATACATACATACATACATACATACATACATACATACATACAGAGAGCATATGCTTTTAGTGACCCTGCTGCTTCATCAGCCACTGAGTTGGAAATGGGGAGCACAAGGTGGAAAAGACAGATACAAGTTGTTCAAGAAGACAAAACCTGGAGTTGTTAAATGGACAATAGTTGTATAAATTAATGTAGAATCTTTGCAGTGACCAAAGGAATGTTAATCTCTGATAAGCCCCTGCCATGGATATTAGAGAAATATAAATGGTGACCCAAGAAGTCTTTGCTCTGGTGCCTATTGTATCATTTTATTTAGTTTAAATAAACCTTCCTTGAGCTCTTGCTCTTAAATAGCTGGTTATTAATCTTTTCTTCATTATTGGATTGCTGCCCATGATCTCACAGGAATATTGATAAAGAATGAAATTACATTATAGCTAGCATCTCACTTATAAATCCTCTCTGCATTTTACTCCTTTTTTATAAATATTTTTTATTAATTTTCAAGGTAAGATGATTTTATTTCATCCTGCTTCCGAATTCTTATTTAATTTAATTACATTCCATCTTGATCTTAGTCACTTAGCAGCAGCTATAGAGTTTTTGACTTCCATTTGTATTAACACATTTAATAATTTTTATTTCTGCAAGAGGAGTTCTGTATCCTTTATAATTCCTGTGTGTGATATTTGTTTTATATTTGTATTTTTTTATTTATTTTGTCCATGCTGTTTCTTTATTCTTCCTGGTCTCCATCATGTCCTGCACAGCATCACTACCTCCCCTCTTTCTTTTTCTTTGTTTTTTGTTCCTTTCCTATTATCTACGGAGTGAACTGAACAACACTAAAAGGACTTGGAATTCAATTTACTGTGGTACCTCTAGTTACAAACTTAATTCGTTCCGGAGGTCCGTTCTTAACCTGAAACTGTTCTTAACTAGTGGCGTGCTTTTGCTAATGGGGCCTCTTGCTGCCACTGTGCTGCTGGTACACAATTTCCGTTCTTATCCTGGGGCCTAGTTCTCAACTCGAGGTAACTCTTCCAGGTTAGTGGAGTTTGTAACCTGAAGTGTTTGTAACCTGAGGCATTTGTAATTCGAAGTACCACTGTAATTACAACTGCCCATTTATCTTCAGCTGAACAGAGGGATGAAAGGAATCTGGAAATTTGCCAAGGAACTGATAAGGTTCATTACTGAGGCATTGGCAGTATGACAGATCGCTCTTCTTCCAAGGCTGAGAGGGAAAATTGCAGAAACAGGTTATTTACTGGGTACAGTGATTTTTGCAGCCATTGTTAAAGTTCCAAAACAACTAAGCATGGGACTGAATGAGGGAGAAATCTCTGGAACAACAATGGAATATCAGCTCTGCTCAAGGCACGACGGATTATGGCAACAACCAGGAAAAGATAGACATTACATTTTACAAGGACGGGAAGAAACACCACAGACAGAATAAATGTCACACACAGGAAGAAAAAGGATGTAGTTTGAGATCCTCACTTGTAATTTCATAATTTATTTAATGTGTCAACACGAATAGAAGCTATAAATATTGCAGCTGTTGTATAATAAGGTTACCAGATTTTTGTCAATGAATCCGGGGAAACTTTTCAACTTCCTACTAAATAGATTTGTAAATCTGGGGACTGTCTTTGGGAAACGGGGACGTGTGTTAACTTTATTGTATAAGGGATTGTTATTATGACTGGAATGTAATTGAATCAAAAAGATTTTGGAATGCAGAAACAAAGAAAATTATCAAATCATCAATTCCAGCAGGGGGGGGGGGGGCACATTATGTAAATTATATAATTTGGTTAAATGATTGATATTGGTAATTGTATTATAAATTGGTATTGTTATAATTAGGCAGTTATTGGATTATAATTGAAAATTAATAAAAAATATTATCAAAAGATCTCTGGCAGTATATTTACCTGCTTCATTCAAATGGACTTGGCAGTAAATAGTCAAGATGCATGTTAAATTTGCTTTCAGGATGAAACCAGTAACTATACACATTTATTGAAGAAAAAGGAGGACTGTATTCCCACCCACCCCAAAATAATACAAGGGAAGAGTAAGTAATGACAATGATGTAGCATTTAGTTGAAAAGATGAAAAGCAACAACCCAGCACTGGAAGCTAAGAGTTCCCTGGGAAGAGGGACTAGTTGTTAACTCACTCTGGAAATCCTAGCTCTGTGAATAAGTATCTCCTAACATCTCTCAGCATCCTTAAAAAATGCAGATAGAATCATAGAATCATAGAATCATAGAGTTGGAAGAGACCACAAGGGCCATCGAGTCCAACCCCCTGCCAAGCAGGAAACACCATCAGAGCACTCCTGACATATGGTTGTCAAGCCTCTGCTTAAAGACCTCCAAAGAAGGAGACTCCACCACACTCCTTGGCAGCAAATTCCACTGTCGAACAGCTCTTACTGTCAGGAAGTTCTTCCTAATGTTTAGGTGGAATCTTCTTTCTTGTAGTTTGGATCCATTGCTCCGTGTCCGCTTCTCTGGAGCAGCAGAAACAACCTTTCTCCCTCCTCTATGTGACATCCTTTTATATATTTGAACATGGCTATCATATCACCCTTAACCTCCTCTTCTCCAGGCTAAACATGCCCAGCTCTCTTAGCCGTTCCTCATAAGGCATCGTTTCCAGGCCTTTGACCATTTTGGTTGCCCTCCTCTGACACGTTCCAGTTTGTCAATGTCCTTCTTGAACTGTGGTGCCCAGAACTGGACACAGTACTCCAGGTGAGGTCTGACCAGAGCAGAATACAGTGGCACTATTACTTCCCTTGATCTAGATGCTATACTCCTATTGATGCAGCCCAGAATTGCCTTCGCTTTTTCGCTGCCGCGTCACACTGTTGGCTCATGTCAAGTTTGTGGTCAACCAAGACTCCTAGATCCTTTCACATGTACTGCTCTCAAGCCAGGTGTCCCCCATCTTGTATTTGTGCCTCTCATTTTTTTTGCCCAAGTGCAATACTTTACATTTCTCCCTGTTAAAATTCATCTTGTTTGATTCTTTGGGAGAAACTGTGAATATTTAAAGTGCTATGATACAGCTTTAAACATATAGTACAAATGTGGTACATTAAAGAGATGAATAAATGAAAGCAATAACATAAAAGCTGTACAATAAATAATAATGAGAACATCACTCTGAGAATTTAGAGCAATTCCTGCAAACCATTTTGCAGGGATCCTGGCAACGGTCAGTGTAAAAAGAGAGAGCTCATCCATTGTGCAGAAGTTAGTTTCTGACAACATGCTTTTAGTGGGATGTTTTTGAGGCAGGCCCCTCACCTGCTAATTAAACTAAACATAATGCTGCAATAAATAAATTTACCTTGCCAACATAGCAATATAGTAGAAGAATAAAAGTCTGATTCTTTAAACTTTTTTTCTTATTAGTTGTTCTCTGTTGTTCAGCTGGGGCCTGAACAAAATGATATAGCACTTAGGGGCAAAAATGCAACCCAGTAACCCAGCACTGGAAGCTAAGATGGAGAAAATCTCCACAGCTACCATGTCTTTCCCTCTTGTACTCAGGTAGGTAGGAACAAAGGACAACCACACACTGCAAAAGACCAACATGCTGAATGTAATGAACTTGGCTTCATTAAAACTATCTGGTAACTTGCGGGCTAGGAATGCCACAGTGAAGCTGGAAATGGCCAACAAGCCCATGTAACCCAAGACACAATAAAACATGGCAACTGACCCTTCATTACATTGCACAATAATTTCTCCAGTTACCGACTGCATGTCTAAATCAGGGAATGGGGGAGAGGTTGCCAACCATGAGGTACAAATACTTGCCTGAATGAGGGAACAGGAAAGGACCACAGAATGTGCCTGTCTTTTCCCTACCCACTTCCGCATGCTGGACCCAGGTTTTGTGGCCATGAATGCTATCACCACAGTGATGGTTTTGGCCAATACACAAGAAACAGCCACTGAGAAGATGATACCAAACACTGTTTGTCGGAGGAGGCAGGTCACTTTCCCAGGTTTGCCAAGAAATAAGAAGGAAGATAGGAAGCAGAGCAGGAGGGAAATGAGGAGGGTATAGGTGAGGCCTCGGTTGTTGGCTTTGACAATGGGTGTATCTTTGTGCGTAATAAAAGTTGCTAAAACCACAACCGTGATCGTGGAAACTGAAATAGCAACCGTGGCAAAAGTGATCCCTAGAGGGTCATCGTAAGATAGGAAAGTTGTAACTTTAGTGATACATTCATTGTTGTCCTTGTTTGGAAATTGGTCTTCTGGGCATCTGAAGCAGTAAGCCATATCTGAAAGATAGAGGATTCTCTTTTTAGCTTGTGGGCATTTTATGGACTGTTTTCTAATCCACCTTCTTGACTTCTTCTTGAAAGTTTGGGATGTGTCAGTAGTGATATGAAAATGAATTCCAATTTTGCTCAATAATGTTTGTCAGGTGTGTGCATCAGTGATGCCTACTTCCTGAATTACAAGATGAATATGAGTGAATCAGGTGAGGTTTTCACATGCAGAAGCCAAATGACATTATTAAAAAGCCTTTTTGAAGCAGATCAGGGACTACTTGAAAACTTCATTCACTTTGCGCACTCAGATTTTTAATCAATTGCGTTTGTTTTTAAAATGAAACCTAGGTGAATAGAGAAATGTCATGAGCTGGACCAACCCCACCAATGGCCCTTAGGTAATGAAGTCCCTGATAGAGTGTGTATTTCATTTTCCCTACCCCAATCTTTTCTGGACACCCACTATCATTATCCTGCCCACTTCTGCTATGAAAATTAATATAGTGCTTTCTCTTTATCAAACTGACTTTATCCCCTAAAATTTGTGCTGGGAACAGAGGGTGCCCATCCACCAATGACCCTTGGTAAGTTCATGGTACATTTCTCTCACCTCAAACTTTTCTGCTGGTCCATAGCCATTTTCCTAGTTCCTTTCCCCCATGCAATGAAGAGCTTGCTTCCAAAAATTTCTGTGTTTGGCAGGAGGCCGCCTTCCACCAATGATCTTTGGAGTTGCAGGGCCCTTCTTAGTGGCAGACATTTCACTCTCCCTAGTCTTTTCAGTGGCTATATGTTCCTTTTCCAATCCCCCAACCCCTGGAAATTGTTGACTGTCCTTGTGGAAGGACCACAACAGCTATCAGGAGGAACCATGCTAGATGTTTGAACTAAACTATGACAGTAAATAAAAGACCAAAAAGAATTAAAATAAAACTATTGGATATAGCTGCCCACAATTTGGAAAGCTTTATCCACTCTGTTAAATTTCCCACATTCCCTCATTCTTTCCTGGAGAACCATGATATTTACCCCTGTCACCCCCCCTTTTTTCTATGCAGTTTAATGGACATATATCTTTCTGCCAATGGAAAGGAGTTGTATTCCCAATAATCTGTGTGCAGGTGAGGAGAATTCTTTAGGGCATTGTGAATTATCACAGAAACCTTGAACCTGGCCAGGTAGCAAACAGGGAAAAAGTGCAGCACTCTCAAAAGAGTAACCTGTTACCAGTATGAGGAGTCTGGTTGCTGCATTCTGAACTAACTGCATCTTCCAGACCAGATACAAGTGTTGCCCCACATGAAAAGCATTCCAGTAACCAATGCTTGAGGTTATCAGTGCATGAACCACTGTGGTTAGGATATTTTGCTCTGGGAATGGTTGCAGCTGGTGTACCAGCAAGAGCTCAAAGAAAGCACGCTTAACCACAGAGGTCATTTGGGCTCAATGACAGAAATGGATCACAGAGGTCCCTCACTCTGCAGACTTGCTACTGCAGAAGGACTGCAACCCCATCCAGAACAGGTGGTTTACCTGTCTCCAGGACAAGGAGACCACCCACAACACCTCTGTCTTTCTAGGATTCAAGCTTGGTTTATTGACCCTCACCTAGTCCACCACTGCTTCCAAGGCTTGCATCCACCTCTGGTCCAGGGCTTTCACAGCCTCTCCTGAATCAAATACAATTGGATCAAAAAGCTGTGGCTCTTAAACCCATAATATTGGCTCATGTTTTCATTCTGGATTGACTTCCCAGATATTCACATTGTGGCCATTTTCCACCTGCCAATGATCATCTGACACAAGTATTCTATGTGATGGTAAAACTGGAGCACTGTATCACTTACCAGTCTGGTTTGAAATCTCCCCTTCTGGGCATGTAACACAATCGTAGCAGCAAAATTTTTCCCTTTCTTTCATTTTCTTCTGATAACCAGGGAGGCAGTGTTCATTACACACAGAAATGGGGAGCACCTATCCACAGACATGAAAAGAGTTGTAATTAGGGAATTAATGGTGAAAGGTAGATAGAGGATATCCGTATAAAGATTAAGGAGGAGGAGGGCAGGCAGGAGAACACCCTTGACAACACCAATAGTTTAGTTAGCAGAAAACTCACAAAGAGTGAGTCATTGTTATTTCAAATTCCACATGTATGCAGGCACACACATGCATATTTAGCAAGATTTACATGCAGCAAATGGACGGGTGGCACTGTGGTCTAAACCACAGAGCCTAGGGCTTGCCGATCAGAAGGTCAGCGGTTCGAATCCCAGTGACAGGGTGGGCTCCCATTGTTTGGTCCCAGCTCCTGCCCACCTAGCAGTTTGAAAGCACATCAAAGTGCAAGTAGATAAATAGGTACCGCTCCAGCAGGAAGGTAAATAGCGGAAGCTGTCTGCAGACAAACGCTGGCTCCCTAGGCCAATAGAGTGAGATGAGTGCCGCAACCCAGAGTCATTTGCGACTGGAGCTAACGGTTGGGGTACCTTTACCTTTACATGCAGCAAAATATTTAAAAAGTAATGTGCTTAGAATGGTATCTCCAGGTTGGAAAGGGTGTAGAGAAAGCTAAGAATCTGGGCCAAATAAAAAAACCTAGCTGACTATTCAAAGTTAGAACTCTGGTCTAAAATGCTGGAGGGTCCCCCTGACACCTTGGCTGCAACCCCTTAAGCACATGACTTCATCCAGCCATACCAGAATCCATACCTGATTGAAACCACTGTGCCAGGCAATCATATCTTCATGAATTATTAGTTCTCTTCCTCCAGGAACATCTGGGTCAATCCAACCAACTTTTACTCTCTGGAAGGAGTTGTTTGGGAATGTGACAATGTTCATGATGTCAACTCCACCTCCCATTTCCCTTTCAGCATTAAAGGAAAATGTTTCACCAGCTGAGTTGTTAAATGCAATGTATTCAAGAAAGTGATGGAGCTAATAGGATGAGTTAGGAAATAAAATGTTTCAAAGAGAGGGAAAGAAGGGGCAGTATAAACCAATTAGATACTTCATCTTTACTGATTACAGCTACAGTGGTACCTCGGGTTACATACGCTTCAGGTTACATACGCTTCAGGTTACAGACTCCGTTAACCCAGAAATACTGCTTCAGGTTAAGAGCTTTGCTTCAGGATGAGAACAGAAATTGTGCTCTGGTGGTGTGGCAGCAGTAGGAGGCCCCATTAGCTAAAGTGGTGCTTCAGGTTAAGAACAGTTTCAGGTTAAGAATGGACCTCCGGAACGAATTAAGTACTTAACTTGAGGTACCACTGTATTATATTGGGGTAGCTAACATAGTCCCTTCAAATGTTGTTGGACTTCAACTCTCATCAGCCCCAACCAATATGGCCAATGGTCAGATCTGATGGGAGCCAGAGACCATATCACATGGGGAGGGGGGGTTACAGGTTCCTCTTCCTTGTTTTAAGCATCTTCTGTGACATACAATTGCTACATAGATGTAGATAGATTCCATGCACTTTGGTTTTGAGTTAAAATGTGTGTTAAAAATAGTGAAAGTAGTAGCCACATCTGTGTCTCACTTTCTGCTTTCTTTCACTCATAAACATAAACAGTTTGTATTTGCCAATTCCAATTAAATATAAACCAATAATGTTTTCAAGGAATAAAATATGCAACCACATTTCATCAGTTATTATTCAAGGAGAAAGTTGGGTGCACCAATATGTTCAGGAAAATTGAGATATTCTGTTGTGGGAACGTTACCTGCCAAGGTTGCAGATCTTGAAGCTGCTTCCCATTGGTTCTCTGCTTGGATCGAGATAAGTTCATATCATGCAAAGCATGAGCCACAGCATAAACACCATTATACATTCTATAGCTGTGGCCAGTCATGAGCAGCTCAAAGTTTGGGGCAGGAAGATTCTCCAGCTTCTCCACCCCAGTACATGTTTCACCAACCACTGTTGGTACACTGGAGTTTGCAAATATACAGTCAAATGCTTGCTCCCAAAAGTCCTTGAGGAAGCCATCTTTCTGAGTCCCATAAGGTTTAATGGTCTGGAGAAATTCTTTGAACCCTGCAATCTCTTTTGAGTGAATTGTAAAGGAGATAGCACCCTGAAACACTGAAATATCCCAGTTCCCCTGAAGGCCTGTTAATATGACATCTACCTGCGTTGTTAGAATCCACACCTTTCTCAAAGAAACATTGTTCTTATTTCCTGTAACTACAATCATTATCAGCCATGCAGCAATCAAAGAATCTCCATAGACAATAAATGTAGTAATTTTGTTATCTGTGTAAAATATATGAAAATTTGTGGCTATATTACTAATTTTCTCTTCATCATCGAGATGGAATACTTGTTGTACTCTCTGTATAAAGGCTGAACAGATTCCATACTTGTAAAACAATGGCTCCAGGGTCTGCAAGAAAAATTCCCCATTGTTGTTATCCACAGGAAGAAGCCCAATCCAAGTCCATCCAAAATACTGGAGCAACCAGATTATCCCCATATACTGTTGAGATTCATTTGGGACCAGGCGATAAAATGAAGGGATCTGGGTGGTATGAATCTTCTGTTTGGAAAATGAGCCATATGCCAGCTAAAAGAAAATCTATATGTGAATATGCCTTATTAAACAATAAGTATTTTTGAAGTAACTTGCAGAATAGCTAAATGAGTGCCTAGTTATCAGAATATGATGAAAATTTTGGAAGGATTCCACCCTTCTCCCAACCATGTCTTTTCATGCTTTTGAACTACAAAAAACAATCCCAGCATGATAAAACAAGAGTGTAATTTCCATAGAGCCACACACAGAGTGTTCATACCTGTGGAATGTTATAGAAACCTAAAATATCTGCCATGTGAAAGGAGGTATCAGAGCCAAGTCCTCCAATGACTGCTATGAGGTTCTTCTGGGAGCCACATTTGTAGTTGGGAACAAATCTATGTGATTTGAACAGCAGGTCAAGAGTGGTCCGAAAAGTCATCCTTGCATCATAGTAGCTGTCAGCAATGTGGAACCCAAGAGTGACATTGGGCAAGATTTTAGGATTTGCATTGATCTCATTCACAGCAAAGGCCAAGGCAAGGATGTGCTGGTAGAATTTGGTTATCATTCTGCAAATAGAGGGGATTTTCTACAATATAATTTCACTCTCTGATTTGATTGTAATATTGATCAAATATTTGGTATTTGATCAAAAATGTTACTGAGCTAATAAGCCCTCTACTCTTCAGCCCAAATGTGACATAGGATGCATCAGAATGCCAACATTTCTGCTCTGCAAAGTACTGAGTTATGCCAAGTAAAAACCAAGTGGAAATGCAATGAAATATTTGGAGATTTGCAGCACAAACCAAACTAAAAATCTACATTGATGAGAGAGTGTTGATTTGGGCTTTCTTCGCTGACCCAGGGTTTCACTGGTACAAGCCCCTCAACTTGTCTTAGCCAGGTGTAAGATTGTGTAACTTATGCCAGTGCAATTTACATTGCTGTAAATTCAAATAAGAGGGCGTTCTAGGGCTGGGATTGCAGAAGCCTACTGGGGTGATACAGGGCAAGGAATAACACCTATGTTATTTTATTTTTGAATTTTTGAATTTTGAATGCATTATTCATTATGATCGGTTAACAAAAAAACACAGTCAAAACTTGATACAATTTTTGTTTAACAGAAAGAGAAAATTCAAAAAATAAAGTTAACAATATAAACAGGATTGCTTTTATGTCACATAGAATTATGTACTTTTATCATAATGTTCTTTTGACTTCCAGTTGTCCCTTCATGTCTCCTATATTTTATCCTTTCTTCCATGCATTGTCTCTTACCTCATCTAAGTTTTTCCTCTAAACTTCCTATCATTGTGCAAGGATCAGTCAAGACCTGCTAATGATTTTAGATTCTTACAGTGTTCGCTTAGGTATTCTTTAAAGATATTCCATTCCCTGTTAAAATTCTGGTCTGTATCCTTTCTTACTCTCCCTGTCATTTTGGCCAGCTTTACATAATCTAACAATTTCCATTTTCGTGGGGATAATGGGTGCAGATACACCAAAGAAATTAAGAGGGATTTTTATGTATGTGACAAGCACAGCTAGAACCCTAATAGCTAAGGGTTGGAAAGGAGAATCGGAAGAACACTTATTGTGAACACCATTAATGTTCCCAAATGCTCCTCAAATTATATCAGTGTACATTACTTTGGTGTAAATAATTCCGGCTTCGTGTAGTTTAGATAGGCCTATAGTTCATGTATTAAAGTACGGTAACTGCATACCTCCGACATTACTCAGAAGAAAATAGGGACATTCTATTCTACATCAGGAAGCTCCTCCTTGTTTGATCTCCTGCACACATACACACCATTTACACATATACAGTACATCTGTCATCTTGAGCCAATTACAGCCTAACCTACCTCAAGGGATTGTCATAAAGAAAAAAATGGATGAGGGAATGGATCGTGTACAACACCTTCAACAGATAAATGGAATGAAATAAAATTATAGCTGTAAGCTACCTTGAGTCCCTGTCAGGGGAAAAGGTGGGACAGAACAGCAGCAACATCAACCACAACTGTGAGAATAATCAGGAACATACCAGAAAGTAAATCCTATTGAACTCAGTGGAACTTACTTTTCAGTAAAAAAAAATGCTTAGGATTGCAGTGTAAGGCTGCACAGTCTTTACATTGGGAGTAAGCTGCATCAAATACAGTGAGACTTACTTGTGAGTATACATGTAAAGGCTTGCAGTGTAAGGCTTAATTTATAATAAAGGAAGAAACACTCCACACACTTCCTTAAAAAATTGCTGGCCACTGAAGCATGGCAGTTAAATAATTTCATAGAATCACAGAATCATAGAGTTGGAAGAGACCACAAGGGCCATCGAGTCCAACCCCCTGCCAAGCAGGAAACACCATCAGAGCACTCCTGACATATGGTTGTCAAGCCTCTGCTTAAAGACCTCCAAAGAAGGAGACTCCACCACACTCCTTGGCAGCAAATTCCACTGTCGAGCAGCTCTTACTGTCAGGAAGTTCTTCCTAATGTTTAGGTGGAATCTTCTTTCTTGTAGTTTGGATCCATTGCGCCGTGTCCGCTTCTCTGGAGCAGCAGAAAACAACCTTTCTCCCTCCTCTATGTGACATCCTTTTATATATTTGAACATGGCTATCATATCACCCCTTAACCTCCTCTTCTCCAGGCTAAACATGCCCAGCTCCCTTAGCCGTTCCTCATAAGGCATCGTTTCCAGGCCTTTGACCATTTTGGTTGCCCTCCTCTGGACACGTTCCAGTTTGTCAGTGTCCTTCTTGAACTGCGGTGCCCAGAACTGGACACAGTACTCCAGGTGAGGTCTGACCAGAGCAGAATACAGTGGCACTATTACTTCCCTTGATCTAGATGCTATACTCCTATTGATGCAGCCCAGAATTGCATTGGCTTTTTAGCTGCCGCGTCACACTGTTGGCTCATGTCAAGTTTGTGGTCAACCAAGACTCCTAGATCCTTTTCACATGTACTGCTCTCAAGCCAGGTGTCACCCATCTTGTATTTGTGCCTATCATTTTTTTGCCCAAGTGCAATACTTTACATTTCTCCCTGTTAAAATTCATCTTGTTTGTTTTGGCCCAGTTCTCTAGTCTGTCAAGGTCGTTTTGAAGTGTGATCCTGTCCTCTGGGGTGTTAGCCACCCTCCCAGTTTGGTGTCATCTGCAAATTTGATCAGGATGTCCTTGAGTCCATCATCCAAGTCGTTGATAAAGATGTTGAATAAGACCGGGCCCAAGACAGAACCCTGTGGCACCCCACTAGTCACTCTTCTCCAGGATGAAGAGGAACCATTGATAGAACCATTGAACCCTTTGGGTTCGGTCAGTCAGCCAGTTACAAATCCACTGAGTGGTAGCATAGTGGATTGATTACATTTTCCTTCAAAATGATAGGAAGGGATTCATAGGTGAGCTTCATAATTTCCTTCATTTGGTACAGGTATTTTATTTACAGTATAAACAGGACTCCTTTTTTGCACCTACACACACGCATAAAGCAGGTGCTCCTGCTCCCAAAAGGACAGGAGTGGGGAGGTCTGATCTCTCCACCACTTGTTCTCCAAGACGTGGAGGAGAGGAAAAAGGAAAACCAGGACATTCCAGGATCAAATCAGATACGGAATGACTTCTGTAATTCTGGGACTCTCTCTTTAATCTCACACTTTTGGGAACTGTTTTGAGCCAGCAGTATTTTCCTTAGTACAGTTCCATTCGTGAGGCAACTGGAAGAATGGAGGAAAGTTCCACCCCCCCTCACCCTAAGTTCCCTAGGCTTGGATGATCTATCCCCCAAATTTACCATGCTGAACCTTTTCAGTTCTTAATGAACTGGGTCCTAATCCTGCATCAATACTCTATAATCACATACTTATGCATTGCCTCAATATTATGCGAAGATGGATAGAATTTTTACTACTTTCTGCTCCTATTGGAAAAACACCTGTGTTAGTATATCTTTCTTAGTGAACGGACTCACACTTAACCGGAATAGAGATGGACTGAAGGAAATACAGTTCATAGATTTTATAGAAAAGTTACATACTGCTGCTTATATGCAAATGTGATCAACATAAAGAATAATGCATAATCTCTCTCACCACCTTCATTCCATTCTAAAATGAAAATAATTTTCATCGTAGGAGATTAAGTCAATATTTGTCTTACTCTGGAATGCCAAACAGGTTTTGAAAAGGATGTTCATTGAATAAAATTTCTTCTGTAGGATAAGAGATCAGAGAAGCCATCCCACCAATGAGAAGCCCACCTGGTTGGTACCACTCATGTGGAACAAGGAGGGGATCACTTTCAGGGCACTCCATAGTATCTGCTTTGTACATCATATGCAGCAGGAAAAGTAGGAACTTAAGTAGCCAAAACATCCTGACAACAAAGCTTCCCTCTCCACACAGACTCTCCCTGTTTTCATCTGTAGTAGCAACCTGACTTAGACATGTAGTACCAGCTGGTGCTAGTATACTTTGCTAATACACTTCTTACTTAAGAGATATGTATCAGTCAGATGTTTGGCATCATTGGGAGTACAAATGCATGCTCTGAGTACGAGCAGAGATGGCCATCACACACGTCTAGCTGATAGAAGGTGTGGGGGGGATAAAGGGGGAATTGTCTGAAATGAGAGTGACAGGGCTCTGCCTGCCTTTTGCCCCTATTCCCAACAAGCTATGGACTGCGGAGATATTCATAACCACTTTCAGGCTTGCTTGTTGATGGTTTCCTAGTATCCTCTAGGAAAACGTCTACAGCTTTGGGCAGGTGAGAAAATTACAATGATTTCCACGATCCCAGGGGAGAACAATTAGTGATTTAATGTTTCAGTCCTGAGTGTGTTTTTCCTATAGAAAAACTATTACTGTGGGGCCTGTCTACACTGTGGGGGCAGCACTGAGGAACATGCTGTCTGTGCCACAACCCCTTAAAATTCAAGATGTTGGTCACAACAGAGTTGTGTCCAGCTCCTAAAGGTAACGGAGGGTGTGAGTCCCTGCCTTCTCTGTCAGTCCCAACAAATGTCAG